AGTTGCAAGCTATCAAAAAACTGAGGATACAAGGTAAAGTACAAGGGTTTATATACCCCTAAGTATGAGTACTGTACCAGTCATGACAAGACACATCATGACACATATCCACAGTAATCAACGAAACAATCAGTCAAATAGATAAGGCAGAGCAAGTCATACAGTGTCATATGATGGGGGTAGTGAAGGGGGCAAAGGCTATACTGGCTGCACAATCAATGTGCAGCGAGGAGCCAGACACTGGAACTATAGTACAACATATGATCAACATAGATGAGTCAGAAACAAGTCACTGGAACAAGAACAAAACATGTTGTCCATCTGATGTTATTACTTGAGGACTCTGACTCCTCTTCTGAGGAGCCCTCTGATGACAGCTTCTCCAAACTCTTGTGGAAATCAGTGTTGCCAAAGTTTGTCTCAATGAGAGTGAGCTATCAAGGGAGGGGTCATACAAGAGTTGGGGATGTAGCAGGGCTGGTGGGGGATAAACTGAGACTGGTAGTTGGGCTGGGGTGTTGGTGGATGAGATGTATTACTGGGAACTTGGTCTCCCAATCGTGTGAATAAGGATTATTGAGCACTTGAAGGTCAGGTTCCATCCTGGGAGGCATGATATGACCTGGCTGTTGAGCTGGAACACTGAAACCAAAGCATGGGAGTCTGTGGGTGCTGATGGAAGACAGGTGTTGCTACTGCTGTTGAAGACTGAGGGACAGGATTCTGAAATGAACATTGTATATCAGTATGAAAAGACACTCACTGGAGGCATATCAGCTGGGCTAGGACCATTCACAATGGGAGGTGCATAGGGTGGTGGGGTGACATTGGACTTTGCAAGCAGTTAGCTTGATATTTGCAAATAACTAGAACTGACCTTTGGTTTTGCATTCTGGCCAGCACTGCAGCCCCCACCCTTTTTCCAGTGGGTGGAGGTGCAAGAGGATTTACAACAGAATTATTGGGGAGATCTGTTGACTTTCACAACTGTGTAGCTTGGCCTTCAAGGGCAGTACCAATCTGCTCCAATTGCTTGGCCCTTCCACCTGAACCCACCCCTGCCCTTCTGCTATGATGAAGTCCTGCTGTGGAAACAGACTGAGACTCTTTGAGATCGATGGGTGGGCTTCCTAGACACTTGTTTTTTGTGGGTTGAGTGCTTCTGTCAGCCTCTGGTTGTCATTTGGCTTTTTTGCTATCCTTCTTTTTTTGGCAGGATTGTTCCAGATTGGGTGGACATCTGAAGGTACAAGCAGTCAAACAGAGAACAGTATAAGATGGAAGCCTGGGGACCACGACAAAATGACATCTTGTGAATCCATATAAACATTGACAGGTTCATTGCAAGATGTAAAATGAAACAACATGTGGAGACAGTTACCCACTGCAAATGAATTGAAACACTTTACATGTAATGTACAGAATGTGAACTAAACATAAAATTCATGCTAAGATTACATGCCTTTGAAGCATTTATTGGGTATAGGAGGGTTATCCATGCTCCTTACCTCTTCACAAAGGCATTTAGAAGACATAATTGCTGAAGACATAACATCCATATCATTCTCCTGACTTGGATACATGCTTGAATTAAGTGCTTTGTGCTGGGCAATGATCTGCTGGAATGCATTCATCATCTCCAGTGGTTTCTCATATGGCATGCTGGCCAAGAAACAATCAAAAAGGGAGATAATGTCAGAGAACTGCACTGCAGTTCCACTCAGCAGGGACTGCCCAAGCAATATGCACCACTCATTAGCCAGAGGGATTAGATCTTGAAAATATTGCAAGAGCTCAGAATCCAGCCTCAACTCAGACAGGTCATTAAGGAATGTGAACTTGGCACATCTGGCAATTTTGAGATCTTTGGCCACCTTTTCACTCCACAAGCCAAGAAGTGTCTTTTCATGGCTGATATCTTGATGCTCATGGCCAAGTGGCCCATCATAAAGGATGAGGATCCAGATGAAAATGTAGAACAGGGATTTGATATCATCCACAAATGTATGGTGTATAGTAGTAGGGTGATCAATGAATATGTGGGTGAGAGAGGTGCTTTTCCTGATCGATGGGACATTAGTCTTTCCACTTTTAGTGATGGCTTCCTTGAGTTGGCAGAGGATATTCACTGAAAGGAAGGGGACTTTCCCCTTTGCATACTATAAGCTTTGAGTTCCAAAATGTTTTGCATAGTACTTACTGTGCTGCCCAAGTCATATTCCCCCTGTAATGTGACCCATACAGCAAATTCCCAGTCAAGGAGAAAGCCATGTGACCCATTTGTGAAGTCCTTTATCATTGTATTGATGATCCTACAATCTTGATGGAGGACACCCCTCTCGAGTGCCTGCTGTTGGACTGTTAAAGCAATTAGTATTGATTTTACACGTGGAAGAGGATATGTACTTTGTAAAATATCTTGGATGCATGAAATGAGTTCCTTTTTTGTCTTGAACATTACAATTGGCCTTGCACATGGCTTCATAGCCAATCGCACATGAGTTCTCCAAGACTTCATGCATGATCGCCACTTCTCATCACAATACCATTCAGTTTCATTGACAATGCCTGGCTCAACCTCGATGACCCAGTAGTGTTGCAACTTGGGAACTCTGTCAATGTCCTGGACCAGCTTCATCATGTTGACTTTGTGCAGGGCTGTCCTCTGCTCCGACTCCTCCACCCAATAATCCTTGATGATGTAGTATTCCCCATTGTAGCATGCAAGGTAACAAACAGTACCCCTTCCTAGAAAGCCTGTGCTCAAGAATAATACATCAAGCACCTCATAGAAGGTCTTGTTTACTTGGATCCTCCCAATTGCTGGGATGTGTTCAGGTGATGCAGGAGTTGGGAGTGAGTTTGCACTGGGGAGGATGCCTGATTCCAAGTGAGGAGAAGGCATTGCAGGAGAGGGGAAAGGGGAGAGAGGTATCACAAGTGCTGTGCATTTGTGGCTGTGTGCAGGATGGGGGGATATCTCTATGGTCGAATCAAAGCCAAGGGTTGAGCAGGAGCTGAATGCAATGGCACATACAATGTATATGAAGACTTCTGCATCAGTGTGGATATTGATAGAGAGTGAGATTGCACCACCAGAGTGGTTGTAAAAGTGAAGTCAAAGAAGTTCACTATCAGTAATTGATAATCCAAGGACATAGCACCTCCAGGGCTGGTTGACAAGGGTTAGATATGCCTTAGTGTCCATCGTCTTCCCAAGGTGGGATGCTGGCTTGAAAGACTCCTTTGAGTACTTGGCAATGACTTTGGGACTTAACCACATAATCTTGTCAAGGGATACTAGGGTGTTATCAACAAGGATGAGGTCAGGCTTTCAGGAATAACCTGTAGAACCTCACAAGCTGGTTCTGCTCCAGTCTGCCATCCATTGACACTGGGGTTTACTGGATAGACTGGGCATTGTGGATTTGGCAGTGGTTCTGATAGCATTGAGAAACAGAGCAACTTGCTTTTCAAAGCAGAGCTTTTCCAATTCTACCAGCAGCTCTGGGTTGCTCAGGAGGTGAATCAGAGCCTGGGGGTGGATGAAGATCCCAGTTCCAGTGCTTTCTATCATCATTGTATAGGCTGACCAGGCTGACCTCTGACAAGCCACCCTGGTTGAAGGAGGTGGAATAGCTACAGACACATGTGGGAATTGTTTTCAGAGGGACAATCAGGGACCTGGGAGCTATGGAGGTAAATGTATCTCTGAAGGACTTGAAGATAATATTTGTAACATAACCGAGGCTCTGAGGAGAGCTAACTTGTATCCATGGTTCATGGATGATGGTGCCCTCAAGTTTTGAAGCAGTGAACTTGTCCATAACATGAACTGTGTGGCATGTTTGGGCAGGGGGAGAGAACCAATCAGCTTGTAGGTACCATCTATTGTTTGATATCTGTTTTTGTTCGAGTCTTTGGACATTGCTGAGGGTCATTGACAAGTAGGGTCACACATTTGAAAATGGTGCCACCACTCAAAATACTGATGCATTTCAACATTAACATGTAATAAGCTCTGGTATATGGTAAGGTAACATGTATGTTGACTAGATGGGAGGAGAGTCTGAACAACTTAGGGCAAAGTATGTATTTTTGTCAAAGTATTTGTTGAGATAGAATTCAGTAGAATGCTCGAAGGAGTTGTATGCTGTCAATCAATTATCTGCAGTTTGCCTGAAGTGAGGTATGAGATGTGTGAACACCCGGACCTGACTGAATGGGATGACATCACCAAGATGTTGGCCATTCACTCTCTTTGCACACCTAAGGATATGTAGGTGTGTTGCATCTTCAGCTGCTATGTCAAAACATTGTATGTAGACCAAAAAATGGTCTGTCCACAACCATCTTACCCCTCTCTTGCCAAAAGGGTGCATCAGGAGATGGAGCTGGCCAACAACATGACCTAAGATACTCTTGTGAGTGACATGGAAAAGTAGTGTGGACCATGATCCTTTCAGGCTGCTCTCTGGCCATTTGAAATGGGGGTCCACATTGATAATAGCTGCATCATAGCGGCCAAGGGTCCAGGTCTTGCAAGGTGGAGAACAGAAGAGAGTCTGGGCAGGGAGGATGTCTGTGATATCATGTATCACCATGTTCTGCAGCCACATCTTGTACCAAACCTGCAGATCAGTAAAAGGCAGGGTTGAAGAGCTTGATCCCCGACATTGCCCACTTATAGTGTGCACAGAGCTTGGTCCATACACCTTCTCACAATTTAGAAAATTGACAAGGGCAGCTTGGAGGTCAAGTAGTCCAAACTTCTTGGCAGCACCATCAACACTAATGTGTTGCAAGGGTGGGTCATAGGAAAGGTTGATCACCATACCATCTGTGATAAAACTATGCAAGGGGAAGGGAATGGAGTCTGGATCTTGGGTCCTGAGGCACGCAGAGATGGCAAAGTAATTGGTGATGGGCCACATGGGACCTGGTGTCTTGGAAACTAGATCTGCCTCCTTGCAATCACTGATCTCACTGTTGCCATCATCAGAACTCCCATCCTCAACCTCCAAGGACTTTTCTTCTGCATGACCATGGGAGTGAGTCTTCGATTCATATAATGATGTTGTGAGTTCAAATGTCCTACATTTTTCAGTGCAATCAAGGTACTGGCAAATTTGAGGATCGTAGTTATTGTTACTGCTAGCTGATGTGGGTGTCTTGATCTCTGATACATGGGTGTGTTCAGTTACATCGGCAGTCCATTGGATGGTGACCCCAACATGCTTCACACTTGGTATGATGCTCTGCATGAGTTCTAACTTGGGGATGTGCCAATTGTCGATGGGCTTGTTTCCCTTACCACATTGTGCACTGTGATTGAGTATTGACTGCTTGTGCATGTGAAACTCATCCAGTACAGAAGATATTATACAAAGATTGTCATCATCAATGCAGTAAGCTTGGACTCAGTATTGGAAGTCCATGAGTGCACAAATAGCAGTAATAATTTTGGGAGGGGCTGGTCCAGCAATAACACTGATGATGTAATGTTGGACATCATGGTGCACACATCCAGTCACCTGCTTCAGCTTAGCAACACCACCTTTAAAGTGATGGAACCCTGCAGTAGGCTGTAAAACTGAGAAGCAAAAGTTGATTTCAGCTTCACCAACCGCATTTATGCACCACTTCATGTTGTGGTCCCAAAATTCCTTGTGCAGGTGGTGAAGGGGCTCTTGAGTTATAAAAGTGCTTGGACAAGAAAGCAGAATGTCCCTCCAAAATGGGTCACTAACTCTGCTGAGGTGAAAGCACTGTGCTTCGTGAAAGAAGACTTGGATGTTTGTAGGGTGGACCTTTGATTTCACCACTGTGAGCTGAGCCAAAGTGGTGGACATGGTTCATGGCTCATGTTGGAATGGGTCTCCAAACTGTTTGTACATCGCCATGGTGATCAGGGAAGTCTTTCCCCCAACAGCTGCGAGCATGGCAGCCTTGGGAGTGTTGGCAATATCACCTGCAATTGGTGTGAAACAGTACCACATGTGCCCCAGAGGATCTGGTAACATAATGCTGAGTTTGGCAGCTTGCTTGACAGGTTCAAGTATGATATCCAGGTATTCATGAATGAGCCTATCTTTGAGGAGGCCACACATACACTTGTTCTTGTGCACAAACTTGGGGATGGGGAGGAGAGCAGCAAGCATAAATGAGTTGGATGACAATTTTAGGTGTGTGGGCATCTTGATATTTGCTAGGCTGATGAGAAGTGGATGAGCAACTCTGCCACCACATAAAGTAGTAATATTTGTCTTGTCTGAAGAAAGTATCATGCCAAGAAGAGTCACTCCACTCAGAAGCTGTGACTGGGGTATGTCAATTGAATAAAAGGATCTATAACTTGCAGTGGAAACATACCTGCATACACCAAGCATCATCAGCAGTCATCCACTCTGTATACACCCTACAAAGCTTCTTGGGCATATTGTATACATGCCTCGGAATGAAATCAAGCTGGTCAGAGAACAAAGGGTGCTTGAGGAGCCACACAATGCATTCCAGGGGATCACACCAGTACAAGTGCACAGGGTGTTTGGTTGGCCGTGAAGGAGTAATCTCCATTGAGTGCCAGCACAGCCCACCAGGGAGTAACTCAGCCAGCCCATGAAGTGCTCTGGCTGTATGAAAGGAAATATTTAGTAGCTGTATCTGGTGCACATCAATAATGATCTTCAGAGAGAATAGGGACAGGCTTATGATTGACAATGACAAGAAAGAGTCTATAGCTCTCATGCTCAGGCCTGAACAAAGTAACCATGATGCCAGCTCCCATTCATTGTGGGAGTTGAAGGGGTAGTACAGATTTGATGCCTGTAGGTTGCTGAACTGGTTGCCATTAAATTTGTCCATAAATGTTGGGCCAAGTCCAAATGTTTTAGCTGCACCCTCAAAGTCATCTGTTGCCATATGAACAAAATCTGGGTAATTGTGAGTTGCATAGTCATTGGGGTTGGTGCTCATTGGGACATCTTCTAAGTGTGTTGGGTGTTGAGAGTTATGAATGTTCAAGCTTGAAGGTTGGAGAGACTTGTGAAGGCAGACTAAGTTATTGACCCAGGTATTGCACCCAGAGGACAGCTGGCTCATGTGCATTGTGACAGTACTGTGACTCTGGAAGCTGCCTTTACTGCAACTTGGACAGCAGGGCATACTCTAGATGGTCAGGCAGGCTGATTCCATGTTACATGATTATCACTTCAGTGCAAATCAGGACGTTGTTCAGATCGCTACAGAGTGTATTTCTCATATACTACCCAATCACATCCCATTCACAAACATAGTCACTCATGTCCATTTATAACCTCAATCACACACACCTTCATGCTGGATCAACCATGCCCACAGTTGAGCATCACCCAGGCAGCAAAGGACTGCCCCATAAGCCTCATGATGGCAGGTTCTCTTCCTGCAACAGTCCCTCTAGCAGTGCTGAGGTCAAAGTGGAGACAACTGGTGTCTTAGCTGAGATGTATGGAATATTGGAGTCATCCACTCACACAGTAAGTTCTTTTTTTCCTTCCTAATAACCACTCATTGATAGGTTTTCAATCTGCAGCATGAATCAAAGAGTCAGCTGAATCATGAGGCACTTCTCCTTCTTGACATAGTGTGTGCACAATGCAAAGTCTTTTGTGCAGAACAAGCTCTGGCCACATGCATCGCCCACAAATATGAATTGATGGCCAAATTGTACAAGTACAAGGCGGGCAGTGGCAAGGCAAGAGTCCATGAAAAAGATATGGAGGTCAGCTCATTATGTGTAGCAATGAAAAAATGCAGACTGGGGGAGCCTATTTTCAACATTAGTGTTCTGGCCAGTGAGCTGCAGCCATCTCTCAAGTCTGATGCTATGCTATGCTTGCTCTTTTCTTTTGGGCCACTATTTTACTTCTGCTGGATCTTGATAGGCACAGTTATTGAGCATGCTGGTAGTCAAATACTTGCCATTCATCTAGACTAGTACTATCCATTACTTTCCTGTACTTATCAAAAAATGCTGTATGTTATGTCTGTGTGTTGTTGCCTTCATGCACAGGAACAAAGTTAGATCTACCAAGTTCTCTACTACAGTGGGAATCTAGGTTGCTGTATTAGCTAGGTGTGTCTGTTCTCTTGTATGCTAGGTAGCTATTGGTCTTTGGATTGCTGGTATCACTGGTGTGGCTTACTCAGGTGCTATGAGTTGCTTGGATGCTGGCCACTACTTTGGGCAAGTCTGGTGTAGTCTACTCTGGCACTATGAGTTGCTAGGATGCTTGACATTGCTTTGGACTAATTTGGAATTGTGCAAATACTATGGGCAGCTATGAGTTACTAACACATTTTTGTGTTTTGCTGATGCACAAGGCCAGACTTGTTGCCCAGGGGTACTCACAGGTTGAAGGTGTTGATTACTTTGATACATTTACATTTGCACCAGTAGCAATGCTCATGTCCATCTGTGTTGTGCTTGTGATGGCCACTGTGGGACATGACTTCTGGGAAGCATGCAACTAGAGGAAGGCTGTAGAGAGAATTCCCTAGGAACATCCCAAGGGGTGCTGGATGGAAGGAGAAGCCAAGGATAAATCTAGAAGGGGAGGGGAATTCATGCAAGGGCCACAGAATTTAATTCTGGAGGGATGTGGACATGCAAGGAACAGCAAGATGGGTATACAAAATTCTGAGAAACCATTATGTGATGAGAAGAGTGTATTTGAGGTGAGAGGGATACAGGATAAGGTGTGCAGGATTGGAAGACACAGGAGACATGAGGACCACTGGAGACACTGTAGACACTGTAGACTCAACATATGCACTTAGACTCTGGGAACTCTCAAACTTGCAGAACACACACAGATAGTGACCCTAGAAGTTGGTGGTATATTTCTGACATTATGGTAGAATTATATAGCACAAGGGATGTAGGTACAAGTCAGAGTAAGGTGGGGCAGAAAAACTAAAAGACTGGAAAATAAAGGAAAGGACAACAGACATCAGCAAATTACAGATGCATGTGAAATAGTCTAGCAAGTAGTAGTTGAGAGTAAAATGGAACAACAGTAAGGGGTATCTTCCAACAGAATGATGGTACATGTACAAGTGAGAGGTGGAGCTGGTGGGAGGGGGAAGCACAGGAGGGCAGAGCATACTGGCATGAAGTCCAGCTTGCAGAATTTGGGGTGACAGGGGTAACCAGAGTTTTATAGAGATGACTAGCATGGATGAGTGGTGATGTGGGGTGGTGGCTCAGCTACTGAATTCTGGATGACCCTGGGCAAATGCAGAATTTCCAGATCAGCTCATTGGTGACTGGGTGACATGCTGAAGGTCAGGAGAAACTCTGAAGGCAGCAGGCATTGGGAGGAAACACAAGGTTATGAGCAGGAAGAATTCCAAAAGTGTCCAAAGGCCTAGAGTGATAGGGGTTTGTCAGAGGCCTGTGGAATTTAGTGACAGATTCTTGTTCCAGCCTCAGGGAGTATATGGCTCCCTACACCTCCCAGGGACTTCAAATGCTGACCATCCTTGGTCAGACTGAACTGAGATGCAACAGAGACAAGCATGGAATATTGGCAGGCATTACATAACAATGATGGCATGTGGTTGGAATTCTGCCTCATGCAGAGGGGAATTCTGCATTGTATGAGATGGCCCTGCAGAATTTAAACTCACCCAGAAGGTGGCTCACTGCTGTAAGGAATCCACATTCCTTGGACACATAAGCCCCTATCATCGACTGTTCTATGACTACCATTACATTTCTGGACCTCCTGCATCCACTGTTGTTCACATGCTACCTTCCCACACCATCACTTCCTCTTGCACAATGCTATACCCATGGCCACTGTGCTCCAGTTGCTCCCCTTCCTTTGGACTCTTTCTTTTACCATGGTCTCTGTTCCCTTTTTGTTAGTAGTATACCCTTGGCCTCTGTTCAGCCTGTCTTGTATGTACATGCTGTTGCATGGCTTTCCATTACTTGTACCCTGTCTTACTTAGGTTCTGGGTTTGCCCAGACTATAAAGCCCTGTACTTAGGTACAGAATGATACCTTTTGGCACTTGGAAGGTCACCATGAGTTTCTTTTCCACTTTGTCTACACTGCACATTTTGCATACTGCCATGCATGAACTATGCACACTGCCTGCATTTCCAGTACTACTCTGCAGACCACACCATGCATGTCACAAATTGTTACCACTACAAAGTGCTGGGTCTCACCTTCTAGTCTTGGCAGTCCAGAATCCCTCAGGACAAGCAATTCATTCCCTTCATTTTTATTGTTCTTATCTGAGCCATCTAGCTCTTATTATACAGCTACTTGGACTTTTCCTACAACTGGAGCCCACCATGAGGGATTCTGCTGTCACTTCCAGAAGGTCACTCAGGTGCACTGCTGTAGGGAATGCAGACCTTTTCCCTATGAGAAGTTGCACCTCTAGTGTGACAAAGGAAAGGTTTGAGGGTGGAAAGTGTAGGTGATGGGTTGAAGTGGGTTTGGACTTAGGGGGTGTGGCTGAGAGAACTTAGTGTCAAAAAGTTGAGAGCTGACTAAGCACATGGGTGGTCACAGCATGTGCCACATCACTTAGAGACTACAGTACAGCACAGGCAAGGATTACTGTACTACACATCACCACCTTCTCTGTGTCCTTCTTTGGGGAGAGCAAAGACATCACTGCTTCAGCTCCTTTCTGTCAAGTTCTTCTTTAGAGTCTAGAAATATCCTCTTGGGTGAGTTCCCTTTTTGTTTGTCTAAAGTACTTATCCTGCATCCAGACCAAAGCCCCTTCAGGGTTGACCCAACTCAAGCAGAACCTACCTCTTCTGGAGTCAGAGTTCTTGGCCATCAGGAAACAATTTCTTACACTTGGAGCCCACTGTGAGGGGCTTCAACTGACAACCAGGAAGTAAAGTACAACCTCAGGTGAATGGCAGCTAGGGTTGCCCACTAGGAGAGACACAAGAAAGTGAAAGAAGTGCTCAAAGCAAGGAAGAAAGCAACACCTCCCCATTTAGCTAAGTCATCTCTTGGGAAGCTCCCCACTGAAGTTCCTCTTCCAGAATCCCCAGAACCAGAAGTGCCAAAACAGACCTGAGAACCCAACTTCACAGAATATTGAACACTGGCACCAGTTATTGGATCAAACTCAGAAACATCATTCAGTTTGACAGAAGAAGCAGTGAAGCTCCTACAAGAACCACCCCCACTGCTCACAGAATTACCACTCACAGTATTCATAAAGGAGCCCAAAGATGTTCCATTTTCCATTCCTATGTTTACAGGAGCAAAAGTCAATACTACTGGCTTGGAGGACATGTACAAAGTGATCTGGGACAACAGGTGACTGATGAGCTCATTGAAGTTCATGATGCCTAAGAAAGAAAAGGAAGAAGAGTAACTGCCATTTATGACCTACTGGGACAAAGGAATGGAAAGGGTGACAGAGCAATCACCAGATAGAATCTATATCAATGACCCAAAAGTTGCAGTCCACCAAGGGCAGAGCAGAGAAAGGTTGCCCTCAAGGTCACAGATGAGGATGAAGTCAAGACATAGGTCAGGACATAGGGAGAGGTCATCCTTGAAGTTGAGGTTGAGACATGAGCCCAGGTACAGATCAACTTCCAGGTCAAGTTACAGAGCAAGGCACAGGTTGAAGTCCCATCACCATGGACATAAAAGATTGGACAAGTCGAGAAGTAGATGCCATAGGAGGTCCTACTCTATGGATAGTTCATTGAGTGACTTGAGTGAGGAGGAGGAAAGGAGAAGAAGGTATTACAGGTGCAAGGAGAAAAAGCATGAGAAGGAACATCACTTGAGGTATAGGTCTCCATCCACAGAAGCATGGGAGCCAAGGAGGAGAATGGCCCAGCCAGAGGAACTATCTGAAGGGCAATGTATCCTTAGGCTTCTCAGACAAGGCACCCTTGCATCTGACAAACCCAAGCCACTCAAGAAAATGCACTCTAGGTCTTTGGACAAAGTGCCCAAGTTCTCAGGGAAGACAGCCAATCTGGTTCCTTGTTATGCTCCCATCAGGGGTCCTGCCTTTTTTGGCTTCTCATAGTCACATGCATCACATGCCTGCTTGCATCCCTCATAATCATTGCCATCCTAGGGGCCCATATGTTGGAAGGGTCATTTGGATCTCCTGCTGCCAAGGTATTTCCAATACCAGTCGAGACTGCACCTCCCCTTTGATCTGGTGTTCCACTGCCCTCTCTGATGGACAACATGTTTACTTCTTGTTCTGGTTGACTCTTTCTGACTCACTTATGTTGCCCAAATGTTGTACTGTAGATCCAGTGTCTGGCTCCTCGCTGTGCATTGATTATGCCACCAGTATAGCCTTTGTTCCCTTGCCTATCCCCATCATATGACACCATATGACTCCTCTTGTTTAAGTTATTTGACTGATTGCTCTGTTGATTACTGCAGATACACATCGCAATGCATCATGTTGCGACTGGTATGGTACTCATACTTAGGAGTATATAAATCCCACATACTTTACCTTGTATCCTCAGTTTTTTGATAGCTTGCAACTCAGCTAACTTCCTTCTCTTTCATCCTTGTTCTCTCCCCATGTGACTGACCTAGCAGATCACCAGAGGACAGAACCTTTGTCAGACCTCAGAGATAACTGAGCCATAGGGGTTATGACATGTTCAGCCTGTAGACTCCCCCTCGCACACTTCATGCCTATTCCATTTGAAGAAGTCACTGTGCTCAGGCATAACATTCATTATCATTATCTAGAAGAAATCTACCACCTGTGCAAGAAGGCAGGGTGTACAGATGAGTATGAGTGGCCAAAGTGGGCTATCTGGTATTTGGACAACGATATGGTGAACCTGTGGATGCAACTTCTGCAAGAGACAACAGGTAGATGGGATGAGTTCATGGAGGCACTCGCAAATGTGTACCCTGGTGCAGGAGAACAAGAGAAGAGGTATGTTAAAGCAGACCTGGTTGATCTTGTTCAAGCACAGTCCAGGAAGATTATAGTGAGGGAAGAGGACCTCAGCAAGTATCTTCAGCAGTATGAGACCATTGCAGGCTATCTCAACAGACATTACAAGCTCACCCAAGAAGACTACAATGGTTACTTCTGGGAGGGCTTGGACCCAGAACTTCAGAAAGACACACTCAAGAACTTGAAATTTAGGAACAGTTTGTGTGATTTGGACAACCCCTAGCCTATGAACAAGGTCATATGAGAAATAAAAGAGTTTCTGAGGCATGGGTACCATACAATGAGAAGCCATGCTGCAAGGAGGGGCATCATTCAGTTATTGCCTGGGGAGGAAGCCAGGAGGATAGTGCACAAGTTAGTCCAGAGGCAGCCTCAGGTTCAGGCAGATGCACAGGCCCAATGAAGGGCAGCACCTGTACCAGCCAGAAACATTGTTGAAGGAGCATGTGAGCCACCTTCAGAAATAATCTGCTTTTTCTGTTTCCTTCAAGGACACTGCACAAGGACTTGTTGCATGTTGGAAAGGTATCACATGGCTAACAGGTGTATCATCAAAGACAATTGGGTAAAGTTTAACAATGGCATGTGTGTTCCTCAAATGGATGAGCTGATGTACCATCTGATAGACAAGTGGATGGCAAGAGACAGGAGGAGGAGAGAAGAGCAGCAAGCACCCATCATTTGTATTGAGCATGAAGAGGAACCTCCAATGAATGTGAATATATTCATAGCAGTGCACAACTCTTTCCAATGTGTCAAGAGAGCTAGGATCAAAGAGTATGCTTTGGAAGGAGAGGACATGGCCAAGGAGGTCATCTCAGAAATAGAGTATGAAGTGCAACAGGCAGATGTAGAACAAGCATTTGTGGCAGCATGGAGGGAAGAAAATAAGCTCCAGTGGAAGGCCCCAAAGTTTGATGGAGTAGCAGTACCTGGAAAAGAGAGATGTACAGTGACCATGACAGCAGAGCAGGCAGGACCTAGTCAGTCTGGCTCAATGGATGCTCCTGAAGCAAGTTTAAAGGATAAGGGACAGCAACTGGACAGAAGTGCTGATCAAGATGTGGGAAGGACAGGTTATAGGTATATGAGTCTATTCAAAGACCCTACAGCAGTGACAAGGGTTTTGAACCAGTACCTGGGCCAGACCATTACAATTCCAGGAAGAGATCTACTCACCATAAGTCCAGATGTTTGGAGGGAGTTCAAGGACTGAGCAATGACAAAATGAGTAGCACTTGGTGCTACCTTCTTGGGTGCATCAGGAATGCTGGAAGGGTTGGCACAGTTGGATGATGTGAGGGCTTTTGAGTGTGGTATAGGAGAAGAGAGGTTCACACAGATGGATTCAATGCCACCAGTACCTGGACCAGACTGTTACAATTCCAGGAAGAGATCTACTCACCATAAGTCCAGATGTTTGGAGGGAGTTCAAGGACCAAGCAATGACAAAATGAGTAGCACTTGGTGCTACCTTCTTGGGTGCATCAGGAATGCTGGAAGGGTTGGCACAGTTGGATGATGTGAGGGCTTTTGAGTGTGGTATAGGAGAAGAGAGGTTCACACAGATGAATTCAATGCCACCAGTACCTGGACCAGACTGTTACAATTCCAGGAAGAGATCTACTCACCATAAGTCCAGATGTTTGGAGGGAGTTCAAGGACCAAGCAATGACAAAATGAGTAGTGCTTGGTGCTACCTTCTTGGGCATGTTGGGAATGCTGGAAGGGTCAGCACAGTCAGATGATGTGAGGGCTTTTGAGTGTGGTATAGGAGAAGAGAGGTTTGCACAGACAGATTCAATGCCACCAGCACCTGGACCAGACCATTACAGTTCCAGGAAGAGATCTACTCACCATAAGTCCAGATGTTTGGAGGGAGTTCAAGGACTGAGCAATGACAAAACGAGTAGCACTTGGTGCTACCTTCTTGGGTGCATTGGGAATGCTGGAAGGGTCAGCACAGTTGGATGATGTGAGGGCTTTTGAGTGTGGTATAGGAGAAGAGAGGTTCATGCAGATGGATTCAATGCCACTTATAATGGTAGAGGTCAAGCTGGCTGGGAAGGTCATGCTAGAAGGGATCCTTGACAGCAGTTCACAGATAGTGGCTTTGCAACTGGAAATAGCTGAAGTTCTGCATCTCCCCATCAAGAGAGATAGCCAAATCAACATGGAAGCTGTGAACCAGTTGAAGGATGAAATGCTGGGCCTGGTGTGAGATGCTTCACTCAGGATCAGTCCAGCAGAAGTGCAAGTGCTGATTCAAGTCATCAAGTTGGCTCCCTTCAATATCCTCCTGGGCAGGCCATTCCTATGCACAATTTGGGCTAGGACACAAGACTTTAGAAATGGGCAACAGACTGTCAAGTTTACAGATCTGGAGACAGACAAGAGGATCCAGATCTCACTGAGACCTAGAAGGTCCCTTGCACAGTTCCCTCAGTTTAGGGATGCAGTTTTGCAGAAGGAGTATGTTCAGAGGATTGGGCACAAACCCCATGGGATGCAATGTCGACCTCAGGACAAGGGTTTTTAGACTTCATCCAGGACTTGAATAGCCAGCAAGGAGACATTTTGATGGGATTAGCCACCCCTGTAAGGCTGGGGTATCTTGCTCAGCCTATAGTGGTATATAAGAACAAATCAAGTACATACATCTCAGGCTTTGACTTGCAGTTTCAAGATATAACTGAAAACTGAAAACAAGAATTGACATTAGACATAGAGGCGACCAGCCATAGAGTTTCCTTGAGATTGAGCATGAATAATGCACTGACTTTTCCTGCAGGTATAAAAATCAGATCACAAGATGTTTGTCATAGAGACACAGGACAGTATCATAGAGATGAACCTTTTTGTAAGGGATGCAAAGAAAGAGGAATGGATAGAAGCATTGAGGAAGAAGGTCAAAGTGAAGAAATAGAGATTGAATGCCCAGGGGCAAGACTGAAAGGTTACAAGATGATGTTCACAATGACAGAGGAGGACTTTGAGTCCTCAGATTTATGTTTCAAATCTTATTTGGTAGAGTCTGACCACTGAGCTACAGGATGAGGAAGAGTGGGTAAAGCAAGTGATGAAGTACAAACCCATGGTGAAGAAGGTTTGGCCAGTTGCAATGGAGATGCCAGCAGAGTTCAGAGTTGAGAGGAGAGAAGTGGGGGACCCTTTAGCTAACCTCCCCCAGATACCAGTTAATCCCCCAGAGTTCACACCCAGGAAATGACTTACCCAGGAGAGAGCAGACAAGTTTGAATGGGACCCAGGCAGATTTTTATGGCCTGAAGAACTCAAACTAGTCAAGTGGCTAGTATGAGTCCATGAGATGGCCTTTGCTTGGGATGCAAATGAAAGGGGGATGTTCCAAGAGGACATGTTCCTGCCTCTCAAGATTCTGATGGTCCCACACAAGCCATGGGTATATTGGAATATTCCCATTCTACTGGAAATCTATGGGGACATCATGCAAATAATCAAGGAGAAGATCATGGCAGGAGTTTACAAACCATTGACTTCATCTTATCAATCAAGATGGTTTTGCATAGTGAAGATGGATGGGAAATCACTGTGGCTGGTCCACAACTTACAGCTGCTCAACACAGTCTTGATACAAGATTCAGGAGTTCCCCCACACATGGAGTGTATCATGGAAGAGTTCACAGGACAAGCAGTGTATGGCATGTATGACCTTATGGTCAGATACGACCATCAAGTGATCCATGAAGACTATCATGACCTTACAACCTTTCAGACACCAATTGGCATGTTCAGGTTGACCAAACTCCCCATGGGCTACATGAACACTGTACAAGTGTTCCATGGGGATGTGTCATTTACACTCAGGGAGGAAACACTGGAAGTAACCATGCCATTCATTGACAACATACCAGTAAAAGGACTGTGATTGAGGTACATGCAAGAGGATGGAATGTATGAAATGATTGAAGGGAATTCAGGAATCAGGAGGTTCATATGGGACCACCTTGTCACTACTAATCAGGTTCTACAGCACCTTGAGCACACCAGAGCTACCATCTCTGCAAAGAAATTTGCAGTAGCAGTCCCACCTATCACCATAGTGGGACACAAGGTTTTGTACAAAGGCCAAATACCTGATGAATCCAAGGTACAGAAGATTTGAGATTGGCCCTATTGCAAGAATGTCATGGAAGTGCGAGGTTTCTTAGGCCTCTGCAGCTACTGTTGCATCTTCATTCAAGACTTTGCAAAAAGGGCAAAACTGTTGATCAAATTGACCAAGAAGGGAGTAGTCTTCAGATTCGACAAAGTACATGAAGCAGCAATGGATGACTTGAAGGAAGCACTCGCCAACTCACCAGTGTTAAAACTGATAGATTACAAGTCAGGACAACAAGTCATTCTGGCTGTTGATACCTTGCACATGGCAGTAGGCTACCTACTTTTACAGGTCAGAGAAGATTCAAAGCATTGTCCATCAAGGTTTGGGTTGATTGTGTTCAATGAAAGGGAAAGTCATTATAGCCAGGCAAAGCTAGAGTTGTTCAGTCTATTTCACATGCTTTGGGACATATGCAACCACATATTTGGAGTCAAAGATTTAGCTGTGGAAGTCAACACCAAGTATATCAAGGGTATGATCAATAGCCCTGACCTGCAACCAAATGCAACCATCAATTGATGGATTGCTGGTATACTCCTTTTTGAGTTTGAACTGATACACATACCAGTGGAGAAGCATAGAGGCCCAGATGGGTTATTGAGGAAACCTTGAGTGGATGAGGATCCAGAACCAGAGGACAACTATGAAGACTGGATTGATGAGGTAGGATCATTTGCAGTTGAACTCCTCAACCCTCAGCACAATGAACAAGAAGAAGCCTTTTTCCAAAGTCAAAAGGTTGTTGAACTGAAACTAGGATGGATCCCCTATGTTGGAGAGCAGAGATTGGAGAAGTTGAATGAAGTGACCAAGACCCTGGTGGTTTTATCGCAGGCATCAGGGATGGATGCTACTGCTGATATAGAAATCCCTAGGACAGAGAAAGGGAAGTGGCAAGATGATCAGTTGGAAGTAGTTCACAAGTTCCTTGAAGATCAACAGTGACTGCCCAGAATGTCAGACCTAGATCTGAGCTTGCTGGTCAAGTATGCAGCAAGATTCTTCTCAAAGAATGGAGATCTATGGCATCAAGAACTGAGGGGACAGCATCAAGTAGTACCCACATACAAGAAATGCCTGGAGTTGATGAAGCAAGCATATGATGATTTGGATCAAGACATACAATGGTTCCTCCATACCTGCTACAAATGTCAAATTCAATGCATGGACAAGATACATATCCCACCTGTCATAGCCATGCCCAAGCCTCTGTTTTACAAGGCATACATGGATTCAATGGTGATGCTGAAGTTGAATGGGTTCTGGTACATAGTAGGTGTTCCCTGACTTTGTATCCTGAGTGCAGATGCTGCATGCAGAACAGGACAAACCTTAGGACAATTCATATTCAAACAGATCTTGTGTTGGTGGGGTGCCATAGGGGAGATTGTCATGGACAATGACTCTGCATTCAAACAGGCCCTTGCTTACGTCACAAAGAAGTACAATATCAATATCAGGCATATAAAGATCTTGGCATACAATTCTCAGGCCAATGGCATTGTCAAGAGAAGACATCTCACTGTTCGAGAAGCTCTCATCAAGACTTGTGAGGGTGAAGTGGGCAAATGGTCATCATATGCACCATCAGTGTTCTGGGCTGAAAGGGTGATGACACAAAAGTCAATGAAACTTTTGCTGTATCAGATGGTCCATGGGATCGAGCCAAGATTGCAATTCAACTTTGCCAAAGTGACTTTTCTGATGAATTGGGACAAGGATAAGTATTTGACTGAAGAACTGATATCATATAGGTGCTGCCAGCTGCAGCGAAGACAAGAAGACTTAGAGCAGGTTTGTCAACAGGTATACAAGGCACAGTGCCAGATGGCAAAGGAGTTCAAGCAGAGGGTGAAGGGGTCAATACAAAGCTACAAGTTCGAACCAGGAGCACTAGTCTTAGCTCACAATATGAGAATTGAGAAGGAACTCAACCACAAGATGAAGCCAAGATACTTAGGCCCTATGGTAGTCATCAGGTGAACTGAAGGAGGCTCCTACCTATTAGCTGAGCTTGATGGCTCAATTTCTCAACTTCAATATGCCACATTTCACTTACTCCCTTATTATTCTAGGAAACAAATCTCAATAGCAGTAGAGGAACTCATGAACTGAAGTGAAGAAGAGCTGTGCAAACTCAAGGAGGAATTGATAGAGGATGAATCAATCCCCAAAACCAAAGACATCCTATGAGAAGAGGACATTGAGGGGAGTGAGTCAGGTGAGGGTATCTGAAACCTTCAGTTGTAGATATTGGTGTGCTTGTTCAACTGAGGCACTTTGACTATTGGCTCAAATTTGAGCATAATTTGGTGCAACCAGTGACTGACTTGTCCTATCAAAAAAAAAAAAAGTCACAGCTTTTGACCATTTGACAACTGCTGATTGATTCTGTGTTGGACAGGGATATACATGAGGTATGATGACAGGGCTGTTGAAGCCCAGAAAAGAGTGTGTGTAAGGTACTTAATCACACAATTTCCTCTTACCCAATGCCTTCTTGGATGTGACATGACCCTTCGAAGCCTGGTCCAACACTTTGGTTGTGAAGCACGACTGGCATTTTGGTGTTGGAGAGCGAAGGTAGCAAGGAAGGGGAGGTCAAGGTTGAGGTGATTGGAGCCAAATTGGAGGAGGATGCACCAGAAGTTGAGGGAGGAGGAGTTGGACTAGGGGATGGAGACTTGACACAAGCATGTTTTGAAGCATGAGAAGGCCTTTGGGTGATTTTGATGATGGGTTTGGCAGGGTACTGAGGAGGAGTGAGAGCCAGAGGGGTAGGGCCCATGCAAAGTGCCTGGACCCAGGCTTGGGACTGCACTGAGTTGTTCTAGAGTGGCATCAACAAGGGAGCCTTTAGGTTGAGAGAGAGGAGGAAAACATGCACATATAGAGGGCAGGTATAATGAAGTTGGCAGCAGCATGCACACTTGAGCCCTAGGGCTCCAGAACAGACAGCTTGAGCAATGTGACACTGGTTGCAGGGGACAGGCAGGTAGATAGGAAAGCCACCATCCTTCGAGGTATGCTTGACAAGCTCAATGTGCCAGTCCAGATGATACATGTGCCATTGGAGACCAGATTCTCCAAGATGGTCTGCATTCTGGGCCTTGAGAAGTCAGCTATGCAGCAGAGAGGAACCAAAGAAGTTAAGGCTTACTGATGGACAATTGAGAGACATGTGGCCAGTCAAGGGAGAGTCAGCAGGAAGATGATCAGGGCCAGGCTCAAAGGCATTGAGTGCCTGGTGAGTAGGTGTGGTAGGGTCTGCCAGTGTGGCAGCATCTGGGACAGAGGCCAGACAGTCAGGTGAAACAGTTGGCATGAGAGGGGATGGAGGGTCCAGAGGATTGGGGAGCAAAGGAGAGGGTGTGTGAGAAGGCATGATGGTGGATGTGGACAATGGGATGTCTGGGAGCATGTTGAAGGTTGGGAGGTCGAGAGTGGGGCTGGGGTCCAGTTCCTGGATGATGATGGTCACAGGTGTGGGCTCTGCAGGGGTGTGGTCAACCAAGGCAGTAGTGGCTGCAGGTGCCAGCTTGTCTTGAATGATGTCAACAGGAGGAGTGTCAACCAGTCATGCAAGGGAGGTGACAGCTTGGGGCTCAGGAATTGGAGTAGGTGGCAACAGTCCCTAGGGCAAAAGGGTGGTGTCAATGGAAAGACAGTCGAGAAAAAGAAAAAGGGAATGCACCATGAGGGATGCCAATTGTGCCAGCAACATGTTCCTTGACTCATTCCCACCCTGCAATTATCCCAGTAGAAGCTGGAGGATGGAGGCAGCACATGCAAGGTTGTCAGCTGGGAGGCCAGCATTGGGAGGTGGGTTGTTGGGGTTGGACAACATGGGAGCAAGGGTGAGAAAAAGATGAGGGAGGAAAAGTGGAAGGAATGTGCAGGGTAGCTTAGATAAGAAGAAGGGGAGACTGGTGGGAAGTCAATTGAACCAGATTGATTATCACCAGAAGTCAGAACCTTCACTCGATGCAGCAGCAGTCTTACACAGTGGTTGTTTCAATGTTATCAGACACTTGAAAGAGTATTCTAAAGTGAAAACAAAATATTTTCTTATGAAATGGATTACAAGCATGTTATAATTTTTTATTCTGAGTGGACTGATGAATTTTGTCTAAAGTTTATATGATGACAAACATTAAAGCATCTATCTAAATGTGATTGAAAGGTAAATATTAGGAGGACATCAAAAGATTATTGATAATAATATCTTAGTCAAAAGGTACAAACAATAATGAAAAATTAAAATCAGAAATTGCTTCTAAGCCACGCATGATTTAATATTATGTAATGTATTATGGGGTGTATCAAAATAAAATATTTCCTATAAAATACAGCCTTTTTGTGTGCAAAATATTTTATTTCGATGGATCTCATAATACATTACATAATATTAAATCATGTGTGGCTTGGAAGCAATTTCTGATTTTAATTTTTCACTATTGTTCATACCTTTTGACTAAGATATTATTATCAATAATCTTTTGATGTCCTCCTGATATTTACCTTTCAATCACATTTAGATAGATGCTTTAATGTTTGTCATCATATAAACTTTAGACAAAATTCATCAGTCCACTCAGAATAAAAAATTATAACATGCTTGTAATCCATTTCATAAGAAAATATTTTGTTTTCACTTTAGAATACTCTTTCAAGTGTCCGATAACATTGAAACAACCACAGTGTTATGGTCTAGACACACTCAAAGAGCCATAGCACTCTTAATATATTCTCATTTCTTTCCTTTCGTGTTACAGCACTTACAAACATTCTACACTAGGAAGGGTGACAGTCCAAAATTGAATGAGCCAACTAAGTATGAAGGATAATGGCAGACCATGAGGGAAATGCCCAACTACATAAACACCCTCAGTGGTCACTGCACATCTGTGAAAGGTCACTACAGGAGAGGTATGCAGAACTGGAATAAGCATGAAGAGACATGAACCTGGTAGAAGCAGCACTGGAAGAGAAGCTTAGCCATGGTAGCTGTGTGAACAGGTGACCTGTTCTGTTTCAATTTGAATGCATTTTACAGTGAGGATCAGGTACCCTAGCACAAGAAAAAAGTGGATTGATGGAGGACAAATGTCTGAGGTTGAGCAAGGGCCCATATTCACACCCATCAGGGTTGAAGACCTATCTTCAAAGTAGACTCAAGAAGCTATGAGTTCAAGGTGAAGTGTTCTGTTGTGGTTCGAATATATACTATGTCAAAATGTTTTGTTTTCAGCATCAGAAAGGTGGAGAGAGGGAACAGAAAGCTCTTGGATGTATATAGAAAAATGTTCACTGATGGAGTCTACAGGTACATATGAAGAGACAGGGATACTAGAAACATGAGCTGAAGGCTGCTGGTATCATTATGTACCATAGGACTGAGCTAAAAGGGATGAGACCATGCTCTTCATCTTGGCCACCAGATGAAATTTGTTCCTGTGTGTGATGCACAAACCCAGGAGTCGAGAGAGGGGCCAGTGTACCATAAAAAGAACATGGGGTCAAGCAGAAGAAGTCTCCTGGGGTTCAAGTTTTTGTTTTTCTTGGTTTCATTTCTGCTAAGTCATCTTAAGGATGAAATGGAGTTGAGAGTGCACAAAGCACTCTCATAGGATTGTGAATATGTTGCTGATAGAGGGTTTTACAGGTATATAATAATCTTTGAGCTGGGTCATATATACAGAGGGTCACTGTCATAGTTGTGCCTTGACCCCAGCTGGACTCAGTCTCACACTTGTTCAGTCTGGCCTTGGCCTTGCCAGTTCCTTATCCCCAGATGTCCTAGTGCAATGAACACTGCTTTGCAATGTGTCACTTCAGTTGATCTCTGCCTGGTCTTGTCCCTGGTCTGCCCTGTCCTGGTCTCCATTACCTTAGTCATACCTTACTAATACCATTCTTACCAATCATCTTAGCAATCTTTGCAAGACTGGCATTACCAGTCTCCATACTATAGCTACTTCTAGTATATAAAGGCTTAGATACTTGGCCTGTACTCCCTCAGTCTGAAATCAACAAGGTTACTCTGATAACCTCACCTTGGACTTGGACTTGGACTGAGACCCATGCAAGGGAATAGTGCTGTAACCTCAGTCACTAAGTCCAATCAGTCCACCTCTCTGTATCTTCATCTTTCCTTCTGATCCTGACCCCTTGGCCTCCAGTCCAGTCTCAACCTGGACATCCTGAACTTGACAGTCACTACCCCCAGCCACTGTGCTGTGTAAATGCCCTGTTGCAGTTCTACTGCTGACTGCATTTTGATGAGCTGTCCCTACCTCACTCCACACTCAATTTATCACTCACTTGTTCGCATGTTCAAAGTGCTCTGATCATCACTTGGGCAAAAGGTTGGCTTTGGGGGTGTGGAAAATTGAGGGTGCAAGGTGATGGAGGAGGTACAGGAGAGTTGGCTGTGAGGAGTCTTGGGGATGTTGGTGAGAGTAAGGGAGAGGTTTGAGGAGCACAGTGCAGGTTTGAGGTCAAAGGGATGCATTGTTGGAGGAAGAGGGGGTTGAGTATGGGGTAGAAGGTGACATGGGGTACAGTGAGTGAGGGGAAGGCAAGGAGAGTCAGAGGGTGTGGGTGAAAGAGGTTAGTGAGGATGGGTACACAGCTGAGCATGTCTACATGGGGAAGGGGGACAACTGAGGACAGTGTCACACACCAAAGGTGTTGTGGACATGGTTACAGCTGACTCTGCCTAACTCATTGACAAGTTGCATGCAATGTCCATGCCATGCAGATGAAGACTAAAGGCCTCATGCATAGAAAGACTGCTGGATGTTAACAGTCATCATTCACACAAGAATGAGTTGTCAGTGCTAAAGAGAAAAGAGGAAGTGAGTTAAGTGCATGTTAAAGGTTTTTAGCACCCATGTACAGCATTCTGGTTTTCATCATATCTCCACCATTTCCAAAGATATTGACTCTGTTCTCACACTCACTTAAAGTGCTCAGCCACACAGTTCTGCCTTCCAAATTTGGCAAGGATCCTTGCACCCTACACATTTCTACAGCACTCCATCCATCAGATGCTCATTTTGTTAAGTCCATCAATCATGGCCACCTCTTTGTTGATCATCTCACTTGTCTCATTTGCCAGAGACAGTGGCTATGTATATCTGCCAGGCATTCCTGCCAGCTTCCATCCATCCTGAACCCCCCTGGTTCATCCTATCATTGTCAGCCCTGTCTCATCCCATGCAGCTTGGTCAGTGTGTTCTCCTTGTCAGTATGACTTCCAGAAGGACATTCTTTGGTTGCCTCAGGTCTGTCACTCAGTTAGAAAGGTCTTATGTGGTCATTTTGGTCTCCCTGGTTGATGAAGCATATGGACTGTTCCTCCCTGCTCCCTGCACTGCATCATTCTTCCTGCATTGCAACAGCTCCAGCATAGTCTACTGTTCTCCCACCTACCTGATCACATTCATGATGAGTATGACATGCATCTTGCCTTCTTACTGCAAGATCCAGCAGAAGACATCCCCCCTTCTCCTCCTCCATCAAAGCCCTGTCCATGAAGCTTTTGTTAACTCCACTGAGAGGATGAAAGGGTGGGAGACATGATTGCTTATGCTCCCATTGCCCTACAGACCCCCAACACCCTAGCCCCTTTGATGCCTGACTCATGCCCTTCAATTCTGGAATTAATACTTCCCTATCTGGAAACACCATCCATCTGTCATGCCATCTTTGGATCTAGAGATGTCTCCACCAAGATCTGACTTGCATCACCACCCCCTAATGTGATATCAGTGCACTTACTCAGTTTCTGACTTTATTTGACTCATTCTGTGATATTTTGACTGTCCTTGACTTGTTTATTGCCAATACTTACCAATCTTCTTTGCTTGCTTACTTTTCATTTCTTGCTTACTCATCATGATTACTCAGTCCTTACTCATTACTTACTAAGTGTTTGTGCCTTGTTTGTCACAAGCTGTACTCCCCCCACAGTATATAAACCCCTGTGTACTTAGCTACAACCCACAAGCAGTACAAAAGCAATCCACAAGCAATCAAGAAGCAGTCCAGAAGTCAGTTCAGTGCATATCTCATCACTGGCAGTTGAGGCTCATTTGGAAGAGATTAACCATCCCCATTCATCATCCTAGGTAGTTGAGGCTCCAATAAGGGTCTATCTACCTTCATTCATTATCTGAAGTATCATCTGTGCTTTGTCAGCACACCTGCTTAGTCATCCATCCACTCCTGTGTAACTTGACATCAACTTGTGCTAGGAGTCCTTTTGGCTGAACACCCTTGCTCCATTCAGCATCCCCTTCTCAATCAGCATTCATTCATCTTCTCCTGTGTAACTTGTCATTGACTTGTGCCAGGAGCACTCCACTTGAAGACCCCCCCCCCCCACATTTAGACTTTTTTCTGCACTCCAGGTTCTGCAGAGGCAAACCACCACTCACCCATTATTTGTCTTTGGTGTTGGTTTTGGTTGGTTTATACCACCTTTCCACACTTTGACACACAATGGTCAGCATCTAAACCCCCCCTTGGATGTAGGGAATGCAGACCATTTCCCTATGAGAAGTCACACCTCTAGTGTATCAAAGGAAAGGTTTGAGGGTGGAAAGTGTAGGTGCAGGGTTGAAGTGGGTTTGGACTTAGGGGTTGTGGCTGAGAGAACTTAGCATGAAAAATTTGCAGGTGGTGATGCTGTGGGAACTTCCTTAAAAGGAAAGGCTG